TCAGACAGCCTAGCGACGATATGCGTTTTGTAATGCCGTTACACAGCACAAAACGCATAAAAACGAGTCCAACCTGTTGTTGTCGGCATATCCATGTCAGAAGTGCCAGATCACTCTGCTCACTGTCCACCTGTTCGTTAAGTCGTTGCAATGTGTCCAATTCACTGGCAACCAATAATTTCTCGGATCGCAATCTTTCACAGAGCATCGTTAGGGTATCCATTCCGGAGTGCTCGCCACATAAATCCATTGTGGCGATTTTTTCTATAATTCAAATTATTAAAAATAATTATTCAATTATCTTGAATTCAATTCAGTTCAATTATTCAAAATTCAAAATAATTACTCAAGCCATAAAAATAATTATTTAACCAATAAAGCGCGAACAAATAATTTATCGCAAATGACATAGTTCCCCCCATCACATGCAGCAAAGTGAATGTGGCTTGACAGGAAATCAATGCACGAAGCAAGGAAATAGGCTTGAAAATCAACGCATCGAAAGGAGAGTAATGCAAAGCGCCAGGACATGGCAATGCCCAGAGTGCACCAGGACTGGCGTAAATTTAGAAGTTGACAGTTACGTCTATCTTCAGCCAAAGATTGTTCTCATCATCGTCGATGGTTTTATACTGGGCAACCCAGCAATTACGGTAATTACAACTTCATGAAAATACATCAGTTGTAAAAACAAAGAATGGCAATAACACACACAAAAATTGAATAAAGTTTTATTCGGCGTCATTGTTTAGGTTATTTATACAAAAGTACCGTACAAAATGCCCAAAAAAAAAAAAAAAATAATGATAAAGAAGATGCCTAGACAAAAAAAAAAAAAACTTTAAAGTTCCTTCATTATTCTACACTGCAACCGATGGGCTGAACTTACTGCTCGGCCTCGTTGATAACCAGAAAGCAAAAAACGACAATCGGAGGACTACGAGGACGCATATACACCGAAAATTAGCAAACAAAGGTAAGTAGCCTAGAATTAAAGCATCTGATCCAGCTGCCCCGTGAAGATGGAGGCATCACGGTAACATCACTAACACTAGATCCTCAAAACAACTTTGGGTTCTTCATAAGCTTAACTTAAATTTCCACTTTCTTTAAAAAAAAAGGCGATTAAATTAACTGTACACCCCCAAAACAGCGTATTTTTACAATTCCTGAACGAGCTGAAACCAATTAAATCGGATTAAAAACCGACAAGCAAGTCATGAAAGACAAAACTTTTGAGGGAACGCTGCAAAATTTCGCCAAAATCCAAAAAAAAATTGATAAAAATGGGCACAAAATCTACACAAAAAGGGAATGCCAAAATCAAACCAATAGTGCTTGAAAGCAGACACTAAATAATGCGTTAAAATGAAAGAGATTAAATAAATACGGCTAAAAAAATCAAAAAAATCATCTAAGGAGCAAAAACAAGTACCTCTTGAGCAGAATCCCCTCTTCCCTCCCCTCTCTCTCCTTGCTCCAATTTTACCAATAACAGAGTACACCACGAAATGAAACTACATTAAAGTCAAAACTTCGCTATATCCACTCACTCTGAGATGCGAAAACACCGGAAAGTAGCCCGAGCACTAGCACATGTCAACAACTACAAGCTACGAGCGTAGGCAGATCCAGGGGGCCCTTCTGGGAGAGGAAGGGGGAGGGTGGGAAAGGAAGTGGGCCTACTGGTGTGGCGAAAACCGGAGGGGGGGAACGAAAGGAAAGAAGTAAGCCCCCTAGGAGGGAGGACAGGGGGGTTCGGAAGAGAGTTTTCTTCAGTTTTAGCACCACGAAAGGCTCACTGTCCTCTCTCGTCCTCCCC